TGGACATCGATGATGACCAGCTGGTTGTTGTCTTCCTCCTGCATCACATCAGGAAATGCTACGGTCACTTATTGACTGGGTGCAAGAAGAGCATTCCAGTGACATTGGCGACGCAGTAACCAACAGCAGCAGAAGCAACCAAATTAGGGCAGTAGACAAGACCTGCCGCACACCGCCCGGTGCGCGCGTTCGTCGCCTTTGAACTAAGTTGTTGCAGTGTGCAAAAATTATGCAGTTTAACTTACACTGATATTGGGGAAAGGTTAACTGAACCAATCCTCCCCTCCCCCGCGCCCCCCTCTTCCTCCTCCTCCTCCTCCTCATCATCATCATCATCATCATCATGGCCTTCTACTGAAGGACCAGCAGTCAGTCCAGTGTGTTTTTCGATCGCGACCCTCTCCCGGTCCTGAATCCATAAACACAATAGGGTATCCTCTTTCCGGTACCTTGATGTTATTCTGGCATATAACCTCTCTTAAAATTGAAGGCCTCTTCGTTAAAATTCATAAACTTTTGTATTATATCCGCCGCTTGCGTTCAGATCGCACACCGCAAGCCCTAGTCTGGCGATCTATGGATGCCTGCATTCTCTCCTTCATTCTTTACAGCTCTCCAGCTATATTTCCAGCCTTACTTAAAAAAGACCTGCTCCTTTTTAAACATATCCTCCAAATGCCCTCTTCAGCTGCCGGTGTTTCCTATGTTTTTTTAGCTGACATTATAATACAGTGCCACTTTAAAACGGTCAAGCAATAGGCTGATCGCATTCTTAGTGAGGTCGCTCGTTCTCCCCACTCTGAACTAATGGCTGCGATGTCTTCCCGTACAGTGCGCCGAAGCCTCCGTTACATGTCTTGCCCTGCATCGGCATATCAGCACTGTATACTCCCATTTCTGGCACGCTACCTCACGTGTGAAGAAACGGAAGTTGAGAAGTTGAAAGCCGACCTGTCTTCATAACAGATGTGGATATCATGTAAACCTTTAAACTTTGAGTATCTTATGACTTTCTACCTTACCATATCCATTTTTCTCCGTGAATGGAGCCATTTTGTTATGAAAATTTTGGATATTATCTTCGAAATAAGGCATATTTCTCCCTCTCTTTCATTATCATCCTCGGCCATTTGATCCTCCTCCCCCATTCACCCCCTCCGCCTTCCTCTGCCCCCTGCTGCTGTTGCTCCCCCTCATCCCCTCATAATAATAATAACATAAATAATAACTATCATGATTCCCTCTCTCCTTCGACAGATGCTCTCCAGAGTAAAGAGGCACTGGAGGCATATTTGAGAGCGACACAGAGAGAGAGAGAGAAATACGATTTATTTTGAAGGTGGCATCTAGCACTTTCAGCAAAAAATGGCTCCATTCACTAAAAAATATTCAAGGATTTAAAGGTTCACATAAAATCCACGCCTGTTATTGCAACAGGTCCAATCGCGGCTTGGGGATTTCTGTTTCTTTACATGCGAGGTCGTGTGTCAGGTCTGGGAGCACAAACATTTGGTATGCCGATGTACGGCGGGATATATATGGGAAGCTTCTGTGCGCATTGTACGGGAAGACTTCGCAGCTATCACTTTAGAGTGGAGTGCGTGGACAACCTCATCAGGAATGTGATCAGTGAAGTGTCTGACCCTTGTAAAGTGTCGTTGTAAGATAATGCCAGCTAAAAGCATACGAAACACCGGCAGCTGAACAGAGCATTCCGAGGATACATTAAGAAATCAACAGGTGTTTTTTTAAGCAAGGCTGAAAAAATTACCGGAGAACAGTAAAGCATGAGGAGGAGAATGCAGGCATTTAATAATCGCCAGATTTGGGCCGGAGGTTTATGTGCTATAAATGTAACCGTCGGATGTATAATGATGGGAGTTTACGAATTTACATGAAAAGGGGTTTCAATATGAAGAGTAAATGAAAGATTAGATGTCAGTGCAGCCCCAAGGTACCAGAAAGAGGATACCTAATTGAGCAGGATGTCTAAGGATTCAGGATCGAGCTTATTGGTAATCGTCAGCCGGCCACTCATAGAAAAACTCTCTAGGTCCATCTTAGGCTGTACGAGTAACACCCTTTTGATAGATAGGATGCGGAATAGTGAGAGTAGTTTAAAACCATGAGTCATCAGCGCGGATCTTCCTTCTGTGCAACGGCTGTAAGCAGAGGGTATTGTCACCAAAATATTGGCCAAAACAGCCGATTGCCGCAAGAAACAGCGAATGTGTAACGTTTCCAGGCCTTTGCGATGGCGCGCCGAACAGCAGAGCTGTTCTGTGTGTCAGCGCGGAGCTGGTAATTCAGACG